GATCGGATCCGAAGACAAAGGAACATGCCGGGAAGATTTTGGCCACGATTCAGTGTCTATACTCGATCGGGTAGACCGACATACCCGATCGAGTATGCCTTTGAGTTTAAACCCGAAATCGGTCGAGTATGGCTCGAATATCACTTTCTACACATACTCGACCGAGTATGAACATATACTCGATCGAGTACGCCTTTGATTTTTAAGCCAAAATCGATCGAGTATACCTCGAATCTGGTATTTCTACACATACTCGATCGAGTATCTGTATATACTCGATCGAGTACCCGAGCTGCACTCCCAAAAAGCCTATAAATACACCCCCTTTCCTTCACAATAAGATACCAATTCCTTTATACTCTTAAGCTCAGTTTAGAATAGCATTTCTCTATATTTCTTTTAGCATGTTTAGTCTCCAAATGAGGAGCTAAACTTCCATTTCTTGGTATTGCTCTTGAAGCTTGTTGATTATTAAAGTTGTGAGTTATTTTCTTAACTTCTTTTCCTTGAATATTAATTCCTCCTTTAAATACTATTTCTATATCAATGTTGGGGAGTGTTACTAAGATGACAATTAGTTAACATCTTGACATTGGTTTTAGTAATAGCTATTCCTTCCTCTATGTTAATATCGGGGAGTGTTACTAAGATGACAATTAGTTAACATCTTGATATTTAACTATAGTAGGATTCATTCCCTTTAATATTCTTCCTTGAGTATTAATTAATTCCTATTCATATTTCATATTATTATTTTGAACATTACTTAAAGGATCAACTAGTTTTGTTTCACATATTAATTATTACTAGAAACGATCAACGAACCGATGGTTAATCGTTGATAGTTTCACAAGTAAGTAACTTCGGTTTATTAATACACGGTCGTGGTTAATAAACTTAAGAGGGATTAATTTTGTTGGTTAAACCGAAACCGTTGTGTTGAGGTTATCAATCTCAATTGATTTCATCAAGGAGTTAAAAGATTAAATGCTACTATCAAGTCGGTATATGGCGTTGTTCTATACTTGACTAATAGTACGGGTTATTAATGAACGGTTGTTGTTAATAACTATCCTCGATGAATTGGATATACTCCTCGATTGAGTATTCGAGAGGAGATAAGTTATAGATATAACAATGATCGACTAAAATATATCAACAAGTGGAAAGTAGCAATGCCAAGTCACTTTTATCTTTGAATTAAATCCCATATAACTCGTTCATCTTCGTGTTTAATTTAATTAAATCACTCAACAATCAAAACCCCCCTTTACTTACTATTTATATAAAAAGAAAGTTATTCCTTTCCCTGTGGATACGAACTCTACTTCACCTATACTACGTATAAGTGCTAGTGTTGAATTTATTTTGAGTGCACTCACGACAAAGTGCACGTCATATATATACGTATATCAAGTGAACTTTCATTGTAATTTTTCTATGTTGTATTACTCGCGTTATTCTTCACATTCCTTGATATATATATGTCATTATATCATCCTTTCAAAAAAAAATGTCATTATATCATGTGAACATTCAGTATATTCTATATACGAAGTATTTTGTATTACTCCACATTCCTCTCGTAAGACTTGTATGTTTTGCTTTTATGACAGCCATCAGTGTGTCACATGTTTGTCTTAGTATACATTAGTTCAAAGACTTATTTCATGAAAGAAAGTTGTGACTCAAAATGAACGTAACTCTGGCAATTTGTGATGTACTCTTGTTTAATTTCGTAAATAGTGAGCTCCATTCCTTACATATACTTAGGCGCAAATCGATAAATCTAGCCTAGCAATGGTCGTAAATTATACGACGCCGCAGTCTGCAGCAATGATGTTCTGCTGCTAAGCTTTCATCCTCTCGAGTCTCGAATCTCCTAAAGAGTTATTTGACTAGCAGAACCGAGTACTGCTAGCCTTACTGACGGAGGATTGGCAACTCAGCCAATTCTGGTTCGACTCGATCGGGACAGTGGCAGAACAAATCCTCACGCTTTGTGAGACACTCAGTTCCCCATGCGTTGCTTGCCTTTTGCGACCAGCGCTATTCGTACGTCTACGTTAAGTGCAATTTCATTGGCCAATAGGGTGGTGTTTCTTTATGTTCTACCGGTATGTGCATACACAAATGAATGCATGTTTGAGCATACTAGAGATTTTAAATGAGATTTTTGAATTTTGCATGTTCATTTCGTAAGTTATATATGTTCATTTGATATTAGTGTAATATAATGCTCATTTTAAAATGTCATATCAATACATATCTAAAAGTACGTATAATATTGCACTAGATTCGCATATTCGACTCATACAGGTTCATTGTAGATTTTAAAAAATAATTAACAAAAAGAAATTGAATTACAAGATATGAAACAGAGATCACGATGTCTAATACTTCATATTAGACTCCTAATACTCAATAGAAGAGGTATGATTCTTGCTAAAAGTGCATGAATGCTCATTTAACAGAAGTCGCAATGTTCACCTAAATTACGAAAGCGCCACCGCCTATACGGTGTAAGCCGTACATTCGGTTGTACAATATACGAACTCCCTTAAGTCCAACTATTTTTACCATTTATTTATTGTTATAAAGTTCTTAAATAGAACATATTCATTTGTTACAAAAACAAATCTAAAAGCGACCAAAGTTCTAAAAGCGACCAAAGTTACAGGACTAACAATGATCCAAAAATTATGAGACTCCAATTGCAAATCACCTTAATTAATAATATTAAAATGTATGATAAGTCCATATTTAAGCACGCGTTTGATGCGTGCTGGGATTAGTTTTTCACCAATTTTCCTAACTTATCCGAAATGTACTACGCTGTTTAACTGCGCAGTAATCTTCAAAAAATCATTTGACTGCCTTCCCGGTTGAATTTTTAGCTGAAATTTGATATGGGTAAACCAGACTTAATGAAGAAGATGCTCAAATAATTTCATCAAAAAATTCCACCGGGAACCGCCCCAATTGGCGACGGCCGGGCAGAACCTCCTATATAAGGGGCTAATTGAACACTTTAAGTTAGTTCATGTACCTATTTGACCCTTTAGCCTATTTTCTTTTATTTAATTTAAACTTAAATTGCAATTTCATAATTATCTTATTCTGAGCTTTCGCCAAGGTAATTAGATTGATCCCATCAATTCAGTTTACTTTCCTTCAGACATCGGTTAAAGTGGTGTACCCTAATTCTACCTAGTTTATATTTATGACTTATATAAGTGCTCATTCTGAGACAGTAGTTAGTCATATATACAAAAATCGGCTAGAGATAATAGGAAGAATAAAAACTTTTGGGCATCAATTATAAAACATATGTACAAAAGACACATATCCTACACTTTTTTGGGCCTATTACATACAATATACAAGCTTGGTTTTCAAGTGAGTTAACTTGAAATAGCTCTCATTGCAAAGTTACAAGCATCAATTGCATCTTCAATTGATAAGAAAACAGACTCCTTACCAATCACATCCATAAACTTTGTTAGTATCAACTTCTCCATCACCCCTAGCCTCGGGTTGATTAGAATCATCTGAAAATTGGGTTGTGAACGAAATATATAATTTTTCTTTTTTCATTCTTTTTTAATTCTTTTTTAATTGATTGAGGTAGGAAAATGATAAGGGTTGTGAAGTACCTTAATTCCTTTTGCTTCTAAACACCTTCTAATTTCAAGCAAAGTTTCAACGCCCGTTATGTCAATTGAGGTAATGGCTGAGCATGCAAAGTTCAAAGAAGAAACTCTTTAAAATCCATAGGTAAGCAAATGAATAAATCTCATATGCATCTTTTATTCTTTTAGGAAAGATCTCATAATCCAATTACCTCCAAACTCTAGCAGTAGATATTCACAGGCCCGGTCCTGACATTTTATGGGCCCGGGACAATACAAATAGACTGGGCCTTAGGGATAGCGCACGAAAAGCTATAATTTAAAATGATACAATTTTACCGTCAAAATACGAGTATAAGTGTATAACACATAAAAAAACTAACAATGCATATGGTTAGAAAATATATAAAGAGCGTATTGATAAGTGACATTCGAGGATATAATGTACCTAACAACCGAATGAAACAAGTAGTGCAACTATAAGGCGCAATATATAAAAATTTTGAATCAAGGGAATTTGTGAAAGTTATATCTTGTATGAGTAACTTTTTCATATTTTAAATCACACTTTCACTAGACAAAAACAAATTCTAAGTTTCTAAATTATGGACACTAAAGTTCAATCTTTCACTAAATGAGAGAATCGGAAGCAATTTGTGAAATATATCAATGGATATACATAAGACATGTACACTAAAAGATTAAAATTAATGTAATAATCCTTAATGATTCAAAAGAAATGGTGAAATATGTTCCCAATGAATTCTAATGTGGATATTTCAAAATTATAGACTTGTATCGTGTACATGGTAAATAACAAATTAGAAGTATCTAAAAATATAAGTTTGATTTTATTTTTTATTTTTTATAAAATATAATTTATATATATTTAAAATATTTATGTACATACACACATATTTTAAAATTTTATGGGCCCTACTGGAGCAAAGGGCCCTGGGCGCATGCCCCTCCTGCCCAGGTAATAGAGCCTACGGAAGTTGTACGCTAACATTCTTCACCATCTTTGTGTAAACTTTCTGGCTATCAATGGAAAGCTTCTTCTACTCCTATTAAAAAAAAAAAAAAAAAAAAAAAAAAATGAAAAGATAAGAACCGGAGACACTGTGGTGTTCCGTTGACACAACATCAATGTAAACATTGATTTGTGGCCTGTATATAATGATAGAAACATTGTAGCTCTAACAGGACTTCCAACCAATCATTGTGAAACATCTGAAGTAGATGTCACTCTGGTTGTTATGGCATGATCACTAGGATCAGCATGGATAATTCTAGCCCCCCGGGGTCGTGTAGACACCCGTTATCATCACTATAGAGATGAACTCTAAATGATGGCCTGAAAATGTTGCTGGCATCTTTCCAAGCTTGCAGGAAGGAGGCCTTGCTATATATAGAAGTGCCCTAACTAAAGCCAGTCCTATCTGCAAAATTATCAATAACCACCCTTTTAAAAAGTTAATTAAATCTCTTGTACACACATACATTTATGCTTTATTTGAGATAAAAATGACAGAATGTGACTTAATAAACCAAGAATGCAATATTTATTACGGGATAACAACAAGTATGATGGTGCGTATACCGATAAGGCGAGGCCGTAGGTCATGCTAATGAAGACAACACCAAGTGCCCCCACCATACAAATCAAGAAATCAAATTTGTCTGTCTTGTATAGATAGTAGAACTTCTTGCACTTGATCAGTCCGATCATAGCCGATGCAATGATCGCCGAGAGCGCGACCAGAGGAGTGTAGCTAAAGACTGGGGCAAGGAACAATAAGGTTAGACACATGCATATGGACATTACAATATTTGACATGGCTGTCTTGCATCCTGAGTTGTAATTCACCGCTGTTTTCGAGAACGGAACTAGTCAAAAATCATGAGAAAGTGTATTATATTTACATGAAGAGATATACATATCGTACAACAACATCAATAGAGACCAGAAGCCACATGTTTGTGTTTGTGTAAGATTATATGAAATTAAAATAAATAAGATGGTACCAGTGGTTAATTAGTAGCAAGAGGTGAAAGAGCCAATAATGTTCATCAGTCCAAAGGCAACCATCTCCTTATTACCATCAATTTGTTCATTTTGCATGATGGCAAAACTTCTTCCAATTGCTATTCCTTCCTATAGTATTTTATAAAGAAACAGAGGTGAAGCAATTCGACTTTAATGTATAATAAAGATTTATTATTATTACACTACTAAAAAACAATGTTTTAACGACCATCTTATAACGGCGACTCTAAAAAATCGTCGTTAAAAATATCTTTTAACGATAACTAATACGTTCGTCGTGATTGAAATTTATATTTAACGACCACACACCTTCAATGGTCGTTAATAAGGATTATGTAGTCATCGTGATTACAAATTAGTTTTCACACACATCCATACTTTTTACAATTAAAATTGGAATAAAAATACTCCGAATTTTTACTTTTAGAAAATTCGCGCGACACCAATTTTTTCCCAATCCCGCTCTCGGCTCTTCTTTTCCCAAAGTCCAAACCCAATTAGTTTCCCTTCCTTATCAAACAACTCCCCTCCCCTAATATACCTACGGATAAATTAAACCAGCTAATTACCCTAAAATATATTCATCCCTAGGATTCGCTCTGCTTTCTCGATCAACCGCAAGTTACGACCCTTTTTAGTTTCTCAACAGATCTGTTTCTTAATTCTGAAGCTGGGCGCTGTTATTCCGGCACGGCTACTCACCCTCCTCCCCGCCCAAGACTCGCTCTACTTTCTCGATCAACCTCAGGCCACGGCCCTTTCAGTTTTCTGAACCGATCTGCTTCTTGAATTGCTTCAGGTAATTTTAATCTTTAATCTTCTTAATTATAATATGTCCTTACTTCTTATTTTAATAAAATTTAAGTTATCCCTGCTTTTGGTTTAGAACGGTTGATTTTCACAGTGCATCCATGCTTTATTTCTTACTTCTTGTTTTAATAAAATTAAAGTTTCTTGCTGATTTTGGTTCACAACTGTTGATATTTCTCGCTGTAATGCTAATTTTCTTCAAAATTTAATTTTTGGTGTTGGTTAAGCGTTTCTGTCAAACTGTTTTTTCATCCGCTAATTTAGTCCGAACAGTCTAAAAAAGGGACCATTTTAGTTTTGATAGCCGTTTAAGTGAAATTCTAATCTTCTAAATTATTCTATTTGTTTTTAGGTAATCTTAATCAATGAATTATACTTGCTTTAAGTATCTTCTATTTTTTTTATTAAGCCTCTTCATTAATCTTTAGGCGTTCCTTGGTGTTTCCCACTTTCCCTATAATTTTTTAATAAAATCTCATCAAAACAACTGATCTAATGATTGATTCATAGTAAATACGATTTCAATGCTCTCTTTTTATAAAAAATTAAGCATTTTAAGTTTAATCCTTTGTTTGTTTGTTATGGAAAGCTTCTGTGTACCATTAAATGGTGGGGTGTGTATGATAAGGGGTTAGAGGCATCAAAACAGGTTTTATAAGTGTTAATTCAATGCTTTTGGTCACATCAAGGAAAGAGCTAAGGAAGTTAAGAAACAATATAAAAGACTTTGGTTAAAGGTGTTGACTCTTGTACTACTAAGAAGAAATGAGTGATTGAAAAAAGGAGGGGAAGAAACAAGTGTGAGGAAATAGCAAGGCTGAAACCTGGTGAGAATCTTGAGGTAATTTTCTATAAAAATCAATCATTTGGAATTAGTATTAAGGTTAGAAGTGTACATTACACTTACATGTATTAGTTTTATATATGTTGATAAAATGTAACTTATTTCACACATCTTAGCTTATCAATATTGTCTTGGATGATCATTTTATATGGATGGCCCTTCTTTTTTAGCTGAATTATACTTTTTTTAGTAGAACACAGCCACATCTGGACAAGCCTAAACTGGAGCCCTAAAGAAATCTTATATCCAAGAGAGATATTGGTAATTTCTAAACATCAGAAAATTTTGCTTTATTTTCTATTTTGTTTGTGACATTCAGACATGTGTTTGGTGACTTCATTCCAAGTAGAGATTCCTGAAATCAAGTTCAATACCATTGCCCTTCTTTAGTAAGTCTAAAAGTTTGTTAGGAAATTTAGTGTTTTTATTGAAGTTTAATACATTATGATTATGCTTATTTGGGTAGAGAAAATGTTTGTCTACATGTTTATCACGTGAAGAGGTTCCTAAGGGTAATACCTATAAGGTGTTTGTGTAAAATCGTAGCAGGTAACTCTTTTCAAATTCAGAGGTATGATTATCTTTAGCCAAACACAGATGCTGATCCTTACTTACTATTTCCTCAGACAACATATTGATTTCAACATATTTATTGTTGCTGAATATATTGTTGGATTTTGAAAAGAAATGGAGATGATGATGCCCCATGAAAGTCAGTGAAACTGGAAGAAGACCTGTTATTTTCTTGCTCTCGTTTGTAATTTTCGATAATGAATTGTTCCATCAAATCAAGTTCTGAGGAAGTCGATTCTTGGGTGGCATGAATTCCATCACATTCATCATCATCATGATCATCACATGAAAAACCAAGGCAGATCATCCAAAGAACAAACTCCGACCTTCCAGGTTTTTTTATATTAAATATGTGTGATGTTATATTCGCAGTACATTTTACTAATAATAAAAGTTTATGGTTTTAGGTGCAAGGTTTGAGTTAAGGGAGATCTTAAGGGAGCTCTTTCAAATGATGTTACAGCTGCTATTTGAGAAAATCTATATATGATACTCCGTATAAGATAACCTCAAGTTGATGCATCATGAAGAATTGCCTAAAAGCATTGAGAAGAGGAAAATAGTTGTGATGTTTCAAGCAAAGGAAAGCTAACCTCGAAGATCTATTAGTTTTATCATTAGTTTAGAAATAACTAAGAGTTAAATGATTACGTGTAACTGGTGTAAGTTAGATTTTAGATGTCTATCATTGTAAGACAATTTGATATTATACGTGCAGCATATTGTAATATAAACTACTTCATATTATTCAAATAATTTATTGGAATTTATTTTACATAAAATGGCTAGTGAAAACAAATTTGTTCCCAATATGTTTTACCTATTAATTTATTTTACCGGTCGCAAAATGTCTTTTGTGGTTGCAAATAGTCTTTAACGGCCATCTTTCAAGAAATTACGACCAATTTTCTGTTCGCTAATGGCCTTTTCTTGTTGTATTTTGTCGTTATTACGTAAGTAACGTAACGACGAGTGAGTTTCTTGTCGTTAATAAGTAACGACGAGATCCTGTGTCGTCGTTAATTATTAACGACGAACTTTGTCGTTAAAACCAATAACGACGGAGGCTATAACAACAACTTGACGACGAAAAAAAAGTGGTCGTTAAAAGATTTAACGACCAACTTTTGAACTTATAACGACAATATTTTTCATTGTTAAAAGCTCTTTTTCTAGTAGTGTTATTTTCTTTATTTTTCAGGACAAACTGCAAGAGCTATCATGGCTGTGATGGTTCCTGCTTTAATAGGTGCAGATATGTACTTAGGATCAAAGTTCAACTTTTGTATGGAAAGAGGGTTTATTCCTTTCTTTAGCTCTCCCACCTGCATTGATTTTGATATATAGGAATGAAATTATTATGCATAGAGTGGGTATATACACATTTAAATATACGCATATACATGTGTTGATACATATATACATATATATATGTATATATATATGTGTATATATATATATATATGTATATATATATATATATATGTATCAAGTAAAAAGTAGTCTTCCCATGAAAAGTGAGAACAAATCTTGGCCTTTAATCACTTGCAAATGGATGGACTAGATGAAATTTAATCACAATACACGTTGTCAAAAAAGTGCAAACGTTTATAATATAAAGTGGATAGATAATGAACAAAAGTGTACTCATAAGTGATAAAAAGATTGTTAATTTGCTTTTAATTTGTGCAGATTTTATTATGTACCGTAATGCACCTTTTGGCTCTACATTTTCACTTTTTGAAATTCCTCGAACACATTTGTTACAATAATTTCATTCAAAGATCATCATAATTACCAAAATGTCACCGCGTTTCCAACTTAAAATTTGATCTCTTCCATCCATTTTTTCACATCAATGGCCAAGATTAGTTCTTATTTTTCATCTAGGAACCACTTTTTATTTGATCCAAAGTCTATATATATATATATATATATATATATATATATATATATATATATATATATATATATATATATAGGAGACGGTTCTCATGAGAATATATCCTACGATGACACGCACCATATATACTCGCACTCATATATAATAACTATCTTAAATTCAAAAATGCAAAAATGCTTCCTTGTCAACATTACAACAAAATACGTAGTACGATAGTAATTGTTATCAATGAATAAAAATTATCATAATATCATTGTTGGAGTCCTTGTTATCTTGATGACCGTCGTTCAAGACTTTAAGGAACGCTTCTACAAGCTAAGAAAGCATATTGTCAACGTTATTACTAAAATACTTTTAAGATATTATTATAAAAAAATGATTATTATTATATATTTTGTTCAATTCATTGTTGTCATAATAATAATAGTAATAATAATAATAACAAATATAATCATAACAAAATAACCATTACAACATCATCGAAGTATTTATCCTAAATGAGACTAAAACATTGTATAAACTCCACAATAGGACTTTAAGTTTATTATTCTCTAAATAGGACTAGCCCCCTTTTGCCCCTAAATCAATTAAGCCTACAAGTCTACCCCTGCAATTCATCGCACCAGTACTCCCGTCGCCGGCTCTGCAATTCATCGCAGCACATCTCCGCCTCCCATGGACTACTGCTCCATGGCCTCGCGTCACTGTTCCTTCGTCCTGCACTCATCTGCAACCAGGTAAGTCTTCCTCTTCCTCTTCCTCTTCCTCTTCCTCTTCCTCCTCCTCTTCCTCCTCCTCCTCCTTCTCCTCCTCCTCCTCCTCCTCTTCTTCTTCTTTCTAATCCTCCTCAAATTTCTGGCCCTCTATTCTCTTCTTCTTTGGATTTCATGCAATTGAATTTTACTTATTAATTTGAATTTTTTGGATTTGATTGTATTTATTCAGTAAAATGTCACTGGTATAATATGAGAATGTCAAAATTATTGGTTATTTGAAGAAAAAATGTCACGTTTGTGACATTGTATTTATTAGGATGTCAATCTGAAAATGTCACTTTTCTTTCGAAAATGTCATGAAAGTGACAAAGTATCTTCTCTCCAGTGACTCTGTGCAAACCTCCATGAGGAATGCCACCTGATATGCGAGAATGCCATAAAATGCTATAAGAATGACATTTCCTTATGGACATATGACATTTTTAGATTGACATCCTGATAAATATACTGCCAAAAACGTGACATTTTTTCTTCAAATAACCAATAATTTTGACATTCTCATATAATAAAAGTGGCATTTTTGAAAATAATCAAAATTAATAGATTAATCTAGAATCTTAAAAGTTCACAAATTAGAAGAAAATAGAAAACCAGAAAAAAGAGGCCCAGGAAGAAGAACAAGAGAAAGAAGATGAGGAGGAGGAGGAGGAGGAGGAGGAGGAGGAGAAAGAAGGAAGAAGAAGAAGAAGAAAAAGAAGAAGAAGAAGAAGAAGAAGAAGAAGAAGAATGAGAAGGAGATTACCTGGAAAATTGCAGAAGGAGAGATGCCCTGCTATGGAAGTTTTCCAGCGTGAACAGAGCATTGCGGCCATGGAGGTTCCAGCATGGGTGATGAGTGCAGCTATGAAGATTGCAGCGTGGGTGATGAGTGCAGCTATGGAGATTCAATTTTGCCAGTCCATGGGAGGATGGATCCCAGCGCTGGTGTCGTGCGTCGCAATGGAGGATGTCGTGCGTCGCTGGTGTGCATCGGTTATTTAATTAAGGGTAGTTTTGTCAGATTACCTATCTTTAGTCCTATTTTTGTTAAATAAAACATAGTAGTCCTATTTTTGCAATTCTACCTTGTTTTAGTCTTATTTAGTTAAATCTCTCACATCATCGTCATCATTATAATAGTAGTAATGTCGCAAAAAGTATATGGAGGAATTGAACATATGTGAAAGGGTGGAGAAGGGTTACAGTTTGGATCCCAAGTTTGTCCGCATGAGCAAAGAAGGCAAATAAGCAGCCAACAACGACGGTCAACAATGGAGCTATGGCTGAGACCCAAAATAGTCTTGGTTTCTTCTTTTTCTAAAAAACAATAAAATTTAGGGAATTTACCCAAAATAGGACTAAAAAGGTTTGAAAATTCTAAAATAGGACTGTCGTGTTTTTATTCCCAAAATAGGACTAATTACTGCCATATTTTGGCAGTACCAGACTTCAAACATGGCAGTATTTTCTAAATTTGACAGTAATTACTCCTATTTTGGGAATAAAAAACATGACAGTCCTATTTTGGAATTTTCAAACCGTTCTAGTCCTATTTCGGGAACTTTCCCTAAAATTTACAAGTATTTTATAATAATTAATGATTACAAGCTAAGATAAATGATACTCCCTCCATCCTATAATAAATGCCACTTTCTTTTCTAATGTAAATTCTTCTTTTCTTTTATGACAAAGAATATGTGGTTCAGATTATTTTATCTTTAGATTATTTTATCTTAATATCAATACCATATATTAAAAAATACGGAGTATATATGAGTAATTACTACTCCTACCAGTCTTGCAAAGTGTTGGTCAATTGTTGCATTAATATTATCATATTATGAAGTATGACTATATTTTGAGAATGGTAATGATTTACTTATATTTAGGGAGCGTGATCACTTCCTACTTTATAAAGAATATATGGAGTAATAATGTAAAAAAGATATCTCTATTCACCCTTATACCCATATTTATACCCACCATGTTTGTGCAAGGCTTTTTTTGTTGTGAGTTCCGTTCACAGACAATATTTGTTAGTGCAAAATTTATACAGACAAAATATGTGCCGGATACACAGACAAAAAACAAACTTTGACAAACATGATGAATATAAGATGAGTATAAGGGTGTGTACATCAAGCATCATTAGTAATAATGTAGTGTGTGTACACTTTTTCAGTGTGAAGGGACACTTACCAAATATCTAGTTGATTGTAGGAAAGCCAGGAAGATAACTCCCATAAGAATTGACTTCCAATTGCACTGTCATCATGAAGTAATAAAAAAATTGAGAATTTAGGCCAGCCAGGTACGGAAGCAATTATTACAGAGTAATAAATATTGAATTGATAATCTAATTTGCATTCCATAAACTAATCTAATTTAATTACTTGGATACAAGCGTTGATGCCTGGCCAAGCAACTACTTCTTAGATCATGTCAAAGAGATTCATGCAATTTCTTAAAAATTGATTATCGTTTCCTCTTGCGACAAGAAATATGTTATTCATATCATTTCACTGTATTAAAACAATACACAACTTTTGTTTTTTAACCATTTTATTAAAAATTGTGTCAAACTAAAATGAGAGATCCAATATGGGACTATGTAGTAATATATAGAGTAAACGTTTTACAATGCTAATATGCTATCACCTAATTTGTTATTCCCACTGTTCCGCTAAGATTGCTTCATCTTTTCTTTTCGGTTTGTTCGTCAAAAAACATCATATACTAAGTTTGGTAAAGTTTGTGTAATATTATATCATTCTTATTTTATTCTTGTTTTATCAATTTTAAATCAACTTTTTCTTAATACCTATTGTATCTTCTCATATTTCAATGGTAATGGAGGGAGGTAATAGTATTACTAAGGAGGCGTTTACTTCGCTGCTAAAGTCACAGTTACGTTAGTAAGACAGGTGAAGTAAACATGCACGCTGTTTAAAAAGCCGCTTACTAACCGAAATAGGTTCTTAAAGTGCTGCTTACTAAGCATACCACCCCCCATGTATTATCTAAGCGACACTTTAAGCTTTTTCAGTTTCCGAATTTACCCCTTGCCCTTACCCTTATTGTTACCCCTACCCACCCTACCCTGGGTTTAGGGGGTAAGAGGGCGGGGTGATAAGGGCATAGGGGTCCAAAACAGGGTAATGGTGGGGTCAAGGTAGGGTAGGGTAGGAGTATGGTAGGTTAGGGTGGGGTCGGGGTGGGGCTGATGTGGTAGGGGGTAGGGGTGGTAAGGGCCTAGGGGGTGGGGGCGTGGGGTGGGTGCGGTCGGTTGATAATCATGTAATTTCCAGGTTTATGTTTGTGATTTTAAGTAGTTTTGATTGGTTTTCACTTTGGAAATTACACACTTTTGGTGTAATAGTTTAGTTTGTGAAATTGAAATTCTTGTAAATTGTTTAGATTAGGTTTATTCTGAGCTCAAACAAGTCTACTATCACTCAAAGGACAGTTGGTGAACCCCAAAAGTGGAAGGAAGCTGCAAAATCAAAGACAAAAGGGAAGACCCTGATTTTTGGTCTATACCCGGTCAAGTATCATCTATACTCGATCGGGTATCTTGTTGAAATTTCAAATCGGATCGGATCCGAAAACAAAGGAACATGCAGGGAAGATTTTGACCACGATCGAGTGTCTATACCCAATCGGGTACACCGACATACTCGATCGGGTATGGCTATAAATTTTACTCTAATTTCGATCGAGTATGGATCGAATTCAGGTTTCTACACATACTCGATCGAGTACATGTATATACTCGATCGAGTACCCGACCTGCACCCCAAAAAAGCCTATAAATACACCACCTTTCCTTCACAATTAGAACAAATTCACATATACTTCTTAGCTCAGTTTAGACAAGTTCTTTCTTTATATTTTCATCATGTTTAGTCTCCAAATGAGGAGCTAAACTCTTCCATCTAGGTTTTGCTACTTCGAAGCTTAATGATTTGTAAGTTGTGAGTTATTTTCTTTAAATCTTCTTCCTTGAATATTAATTACTTCCTATTCATATTCCATATTAATATTACGAGCATTACTTAAAGGATCAATTAGTATTGTTTCATATATTAATTATTACTAGAATCAATCAGTTAATACGCTTGTTATTAATTCGGTTCTTTCAATGGTAGTAAACTTGGATTGTTAATGCATGCTTCTCATGGTTAATAAGCCGAGGGGAATTAATTATATTGATTAAACCAATAAACCGCTTGTGTTGAGGTTATCAATCTCAATCGTTTTCATCTTAAGCTTATTGCTACTATCAAGTTAATATACGACGCTTGTTCTATATTGACTCGGTAGTAAGTTTTATTAATGAACGCATCTCGTTATTAATAATTACCCTCGATGAACTGGATATACTCCTCGATTGAGTATTCGAGAGGAAGATAGTTAAAGATATAACCGGGATCGACGAACATTTCATTAAGTGGATAAAAGCAAAACCAAGCCTCCATCTCTATTAAAGTAAACCACATAACTCGTTCATCTTTGTGTTTAAATATAATTTAAGTTCATTCACTCAATCTAACCCCCCCCCTTGTTACTAGTTTATAAAAAGAGAAGTCTTCCTTTCCCCGCGGATACGAACCTTACTTCATTATACTACGTATAATTGTTGTATTGTATTATTATTTTGAGTGCACACCACGACAAAGTGCACGTCAAATTTGGCGCCGTTGCCGGGGAAAGACAATTATTTTTCTTTTTACTTTACCTCAAGAAAAATAAAAAAAAAATTAACAAAAATATAAAGAGTTATTATTCTGAGCTTTGTTTGAGTATATGGTTAAACACCGATCTATAAACCAAATCACCTACCAAACAAATCCCGAAGCAGAACAAGCCTTCGAGAGCTTTAGGAATTTATTTCCGAATACGTCTTCGGAGGAATCATCAAGTGCTAGCTCCAGCTCTAGCGAATCTGAAGAGCCAATCACTATGGCTCGAGAAACACGAACCTTGTGGGAGCTCACAGCTCCAAACTTAAATCAACAACCGTTATGTATTACCTTTCCTACTCTTGACGAAGGTAATACATTTGAGCTAAAATCTGGGCTCATACATCTATTGCCATCTTTTCATGGCCTACGAGGAGAAGACCCGAATAAACATCTTTCGGAATTCCACATCGTATGCACCAGCATGTGTCCAAACGGTGTTACCGAAGAACAAATCAAACTGAGGGCCTTCCCTTTCTCTTTAAAGGACACCGCGAAGGATTGGCTTTTCTATCTTCCTTCAAGGAGTATCAACACATGGGCACAAATGAAGAAATGCTTCCTTGATAGGTATTATCCTGCTTCTATCTCATCTTCTCTCAAAAAGCAAATAAGCAACATCGAGCAAAAGGATGATGAGTCTTTGTATGAATTTTGGGAACGATTTAAGAAGCTATGTGCCAGCTGCCCCTATCATGGATACTCAGAACAAGACCTCATCTTATATTTTTATGATGGTCTTGTTGATGATGATAGAAGAATGGTGAACACCGCCTGTGGAGGCGGCATTGTCAATAAAACACCTTCACAAGCTATAAATCTTATCTCGGAGTTGGCCGAGAACTCACGGCAATTCGGTCGCAAATCCTCAACTCGTAGAGTTGCCGCTGCAGAATCGACATCATCATTGGAGAGTCAGGTTGCCGGTTTGACTTCTTTGGTTAAGGATTTCCTCTTAAAATCCAAGACCCAAGAAGTCAAGGTCTGCGGCATTTGTACAAAACAGGGGCACCCCACGGACTCATGCCCAACTCTTCAAGAGGACAATCAAGAGCAAGTCAACGCCTTGGGTTTCCAAGGACATCAACAAAGGAGGTACGACCCATTCGCAAACTCTTACAATCCCGGATTTAGGGATCATCCAAACTTGAGATATGGAAACCCCCAGTAATCCAACCCTCCACAAAACCAAGGCCAAGGCTCGAATATGTCTACGGAGGACATGATCCGGGCACTCACCTCAAATGTCTCGACCATGCAACAAAATATGGTCCAATTTCAACATGAGACCAAGTCTAGCATCCAAAACCTTGAGAACCAAATGAGACAAATCTCAAGGGCGGTGAGTAGATTTGAGGCCAAGGATTCAGCAAAACTCCCTTCTCAAACGGAACAAAATCCAAGACAACATGTTAATGCAATCATGTTGAGAAACGGAAAAGAGTTGCAAGAAGGAGAGAAGGATAAAGAGAAGCTGGTTGAAGTTGAAGAGGAAGATCAACCGGAAGAGATGACCACAAAAGCT